CGCCACTGACATCGGTTGGCAGCCATATCTTGTAGTGTCTCCAACCAGGCACAGTGAGGATCACGCGGTCCCCATCCTGGAAGGTGAGTAGCACCGACGGCACCAAGCGTTTCGTGATCCCCTTCATACTTCTCTACCAAGTCGGGGGTTGGCCACCTCTCTGTTTACGCCACTCCGAATCGGTAATGGAAAACAGCACTCCCTTCGGCAAACGATGGTTCGGCATACGTTGTGGTACCGATAGGTAATGGTTAGACTCCGTTACCCTTGTCATCTGTGTTCCCGAGTACTTTACACCTGACAAAGTTAAACTATGGTGACTGAATCGTTGAACCATAGGAACAGATTGCTCTCAGCGTTGCGTATTGTCATAACAATAAACGCAAACAATCAACTAAAATTGTAGTTTCATTCCCAACTGCTCAGCCCTTCTGCAAACACGTACAACTCACACATGTCCTGTACAATGAGCAAATATTCAAATTTAGAGCTAGCCATCTGATCAAATAATGTTCAATACGAAATTGTGGTGCATTAAGTCCCATAAGGCCTCACACAACATTATTGTCCAGCGAAAATTCGATCCCAAAGAAAGTGATGGTAACGGTATGTTTACTTTTCCCTCCTCCTCATCGTTTCATATGAAAACCTAGCGTCGATCGAAAGCAAGCTGGAGAACTAATGATGATCGTTCGAGCGCGAACCTGTTTACCTGTTCAGACAAGAAAATTCAGATGCGTCCAACCTGCACTAATGTAGTAGTGGCAACTCACTCGCCTTGCATGTCAGATGGGCGGAGTTCGAGTCCCACACTGCTGATGAGTTCTAATAAGAGCGAAACTCGAGTCCATTTCCTCCCCTATTTGGTGTGGACTCACAAAGATAATTACGCAAGGACAGGATGATGACTGTTCAAACGTGAGTCATGTGAACATGTATTCTAATGCTGAACGAAAAACAGGAAAGCTTCCTTGAGTATTACTCTCATTTGCAAATCTATTTGGTTTTCACGAGAGACTCAACCGAATCTCTCGTTTATGATATTTTACAACTGGATGTGCTGCACACAGGTCTCCTCATGTTTCAGTTGGAATGATATTCGAGGTATCGCAGTATACCTCTATAGGGGAAACCACTCACAGTCCAATTTGGGTTCAAGTGGAACATAAGGTTGACGGAAACTCGGGGACTGGGCCTACCTGATGAGCCTCAAGAAGGGCGAAACCGGTCGTGGGCTGTCCAAGGGTTTTCAGCGAACTTGCGAGTAGTTTCCTTCATGAAAGAAACACTTCCTATTATAATTATATGGATGTGAACGAGTGCCTATCATGGAGTTAGCAAACAATAGATAGAAAATAGTGTGCATGAGCAGCAAACATAACGAAAGATCAACATACCAGAGTACCGGTGGGCAACTTTGTTGTAGATATTTTGGGTTGTCTTCGGCGTTCAGTGATATTGATTGAATCACCTTGCATAAGCGTTTCGAGATCGTTCCGGATGGCTTCATTGCGTCTCGTCTGGAAAAATTATACACGGCATGCATTCAAAAGAGCACCTGATCAGGGGTCACAAGCAGTTCACACAGGTCTGAATTATGCCCCTGAAACCTCGCGGATTTTAGTTTCTACTCCTTTAAATTCATGCGATCACTTTGTGACCACCAGTCAACATTATCGATTTTTCTATGGTATATTATCGTCCTATAAATTGTGAGAACTGAAATACTTCCGTTATCATCTGTAGGGCGCAGTTTCCAATCTTTTAATTTTTGAATTTTTGTGTGCGTTTAAACGTGATAGCTTCTAGATTATCTTTTGGAAGTGCAGTTTAGTGTCCTGTTGAGAAATTAGAGTCCCTATTTTTTCAGGTATTACAAGGGCGACCGGAGGACAATTATTCTCGTGTCAGCATTTTTCTGAGCAATTTACTGTTAGTCACCAAATTTTAATCAAACATACGAGCACATTATTGCTCATAACGTCAAGCAAAATTTTCCAAAATGTTCATTAGTGGGACACAGATTTTTCGCACAGATGATCGGGTTTCCAAACGACACTCAAGTCTTAAAAAACCGGTTTTACAGTAAACACGACTGTGCCCACCTGTTTCATATTGGTAGACACAGTAGTAGGTTGACTGCAGAATTGGATCAATCTCCATCTACTACTTATTGCTCAACCATGCTACTTATTTCATCCGATGTCATATATGTAAACCAAACAAACTAATGTTAAGATAGTCACCAAAGGCCTTTGAAAATCTTGTGATTTACTTATCAGACGCCTTAGATTCGGAGAAAAAAATGCTACGAAACTACGGAGCAGCACAGTGGTCGAAATCATTAGAGGTTTTGGAGAACAGGTCACCAAAATATCAAAGTTAATATACCGCTGTTTATCAAAAAACGCGCACTCTTGCACTACTTCATCATTATTTTGTTTTTCTGAAATGCTTCCCAACCCTTAGAGCCTTCAAAATAACCAGACAGCTGCATTTTTCTATGTATGTGCTTTGTCGCGATTCCACAGACTTTTTCTAGAAGAATCAGTTGTCAGCTGTGAGTTGGCCAGACCCACAATCGATAGCGCAGGATTAAAATCATGCGTTTTGAGCCAGATACTATGAACAGATATGTTTCCGTGGGAATCACTTATAGTGACTGAAAAAGGTAGATGTTCCGTATTCTTCAAACATATTGTGCCTTCCTATTGAAACAGCTAGGAAAGCCACGACGGGCTAAATTAATGACTTCCAAAGTCTCTGTACAGCAAAAGACAACTTGGTCTCCAAGATCATCTTCCAACCGCCTTTGTAGCAGTTGTTTGAGGATGTGATGCCATGGGTTCAACTTGTCGTCACAAGTGTAGCTGCTTGGGAGTTTGTCCTTACTGTCAGCATCACGTGTGAGTAACCTATGAATCTATAAGGGGACTTGAAGTAGTGGACGAACGCTCTAACGTTAGGACAACAATTTCTGATGAGCGGTATGAATGACTCCAACATAAACGGGTTGTAAAACCACTTATGCCTCGGTCACACAATTTGTGACACATGACTAAATACTTCCTGGTTGATTTCAGACGATAGGCTCACACAACCAGTTAACAACTTTCCCTTCTGAGCTAACTGTGACATATGCCATACCGTAAGACACTCTCTTTATGGCACCATCAAAACGAAGGTGAATTGCACTCAATCCTTCGGAGAAACCCACCTGAAGAGTATCCAACCAAAGCATCATGGCTTCCTCTGTTTCGGCCTGCAATACGTTATCCTTCCCTTCTGAACTGGAATCAAACAAACAAATACATTAGTTAGTTGATTGAATTGTAACGGTTTCTGTCTGTTGATGCAAAAGACAAAATGCCCTGAATCCAGCCTTCTATTCCTCAAGGTATGAATTATCAAAGTTGGAAAGAAAAGTTCCCATTTAATTATGCATTCACTTTTTATGTTTGTGACCATACTCTCCAAAAATAAACGATAATAACTGTAGTACACAGTTTCATGGTACATATTATGCGGTGTGTGTAATATATATGTATACTGGCATGTATAATATGAGGTGTCTCTTAATAGACGCAAAATTTGATTGTGTAGGTAAACGTGGTCAATTAGAACAAGAATGACAAAATCTTTTTTATTATTAGTAGCCACATAAAGGAGATTTTGTGTGCAAACGTTGACATTTTTTCCATTTACGATGGATGTCAGTACGCGCATTGGAATTATGAAAGTCAATTATTCCCTTGGTGAAAGAGCCACCGCTGCACGTTGTTGTTACAAAGCCAAACATGGTACTAGCCTCTAGGGCGCTGTCTACCGATTGGAAATCCAATTGTTTGAACCGGAGCAGGACATGTATCATGGACAAGCTGAGTTCAAATTCCGCATGATGCCACCAAACTTGTCGCCGAATTCCATCTTCAGATGTTGCGCACAAGTTTGTTTCGCAAACAAAGACATGAGAGCTGCGCTGGTATACAGAATTTAGAGAAATATGATTGATTTTACTCCACCTAAAGAGCATACTTGACGGCTTCACAACCGATGTTAAGTCTTCAAAGAGACAAGTTACTTAGTTAAAATCTTCAACGAAAGTGTATCCCCATTGGTCTATCGCCTTCAAAATACTTTAATAGTAAAACATACCGATCCCAAATTATTAAACTATATAAATAAGACTGTCGATAGCCTAGGCATTGTGTTTAACGACACCACGGTTCCAGAGATTCATCTAAGTTCCAGTTAGGCCAGAAACCAGAACCGTGTGTTTGAGATAGAGCTTTATTTAAAGTGTGCAGGATGCATAAAGAACATTGCAAACAGAATGAACTAGAATCTGACTTTGATTATGCAAGTGGAGTAACTGATATATGCTTGATGAAAAGAGTACCGCCACTGAAAGAATAGAGACAGCGAGTGAGACGTCTATCTCACGATAGCAGTTTTGTGCAAACTGACGAACCAGAACAACTCATTACACTAACGCATGTATACTCTTATTTGCATATCAATTTGGTTTTCACGAGGAATTCGGCTAAATCCCTCTAGTTATGCTATTTTTCAGGGAGGAAAGAAGGTTGACAAAAACTCGGAGGTTCTGCCAGACTACCAGATGTGTCTCAATGTGGGCTGTCGAATAGTTTTCACTAACATTGTGAGTATAGTATAGTTAAAGTATAGTTAAGGTATAGTTAAAGTACTACCGGTTTGTTAGAAGCCGAACACTGAAACACTAATCCAAAACTCATGGAAACTAACTGTGTTTACGTTTTGATTTGCACCAGCCACGGCTCTCAGATACATCACAATAGGCGTGAACAATGCGTGACTGTTGTTAAATCGTGCTTCTCCCAGTATTAGAAATATGTGAGTACTAGATTTTGATTAAAAAAAACAAGCATAATTATAATTTTTTAGATGACGTACGTGATAACAAACTGATGGAATTCTGTTGGATCGATGAAGAACGCTGCATTCACGATAGTGATCACACGTAAAGGCTCGCGGTTTGGAGTGTTCGCTTCATCCTCATTTCTATAGGCTCGCACGGTCATCGTGGATTCATCGAACTCATACCAGTGTTTCTGACTGCCCTTAAATCTTCGAAATGCTGTGGAATAATTGTGTTAGAAAACAGAGATTTCACTGGAAATCAAGTAGGAATCAGATGGCTACTTAGCTTTGTGGGAATAAATTCATAGTTTCGTCAAGAAAAGAGCAACCCAGGCAGACAACTGATCACCGTCGTCATTGAATACAACACACCAATAATGCCGAACCGCCATACGAGCGTGAGGCAAGAAAACTTTAGTAAAGAGTGGAAAAAAGAAGGGAAGGGTATGGACTTATTACAACAAGGCCTTGTGTTCTTAAGGAGATCGATCAAAGATAAGATGCCTACACTTTTGGACACCATTAAAATGAGTTGATTGGAACGTTACGTCAAAGTAAGGCCCCATTGGTGGGGTCAACCCAGCGTGCTTTGCAGGACTCACCTGACCTGAGCGTAGCGCGCAATCACAGGGGAAATTTAGCTAGGCTAGGGAATGACAACAAGTGTCCCACCTGGATTAGTCTTGGGCCGTATCCTGTAAGGTCTGCAAACAGCTGCGTTCCAAGTGAGCAACAGCCAAAATGTGCGAAAGTCCAACAGCACTCAGTCTGAGAATGACTGTTTTTAGTTCACATAGCCATGCCTCGGCCTGTCCCTCACAACCCTTTCGCCAACAATCGATTGAATCAGAAAACAACGCTTACTTAGATAGACGGTGGTTGGGCGCCCTTTCGCCAACAATCGATTGAATCAGATAGACGGTGGTTGGGTACACTTGGTACATCCGGCAACCATCTCATCCTAGAATAGCTAGTCTGCTCCTCCGAGAAATTGAACTTTTTACCCGTTTACGCCTCACCAATTTTCTGATGCACTTCAAACCATTCCGCAAACTGAACCAGCAATTTGGGCTGAAATTTATACAACCGATGGGATACATGCGCATCACTCACTGAGTTTCCAATGTTTGCTGATGTACTTACGAAAAAAACATCTACGAACACGTGATCTTTATCGACCGTGTTACGCAGAATATGTTCCCATCATATTCCCATCTATCAATTAACCCAAAGGGGCACCAGCTGTGTCTATTATACAGCCAAATGTAACAAAATGGAAGTCGTTCGTGTGCACAGGTTCCACTGAATCCGAATCGAGCGCGATGGCTCACATAATTTTGGTGCCTCCAAGCCCAGACAGGAACAAGTCAGGTTCATGTGTACAACATGGACATTCGGTTCGTAGTTCTGCACTTTGACCAGCAGCGGGCTATTTCAATCGGGCACACAGGGCTGGACCGAACCTATGGGTATTCTGACTGGAAACCCAAGCCTGACAGCATGAAATATACAAATAAAGTCGGTGTGCACGGAGACACATGTAATGCCCGGTTATTAAAACGATTACAACCATGCAGTGCCCTAAAACAGAACAGTATGAGGATCGTTTTTCCGAAGGATTAGGCTTGTTTCGGAAATCCTAAGCACGTCGCCCAACTAAATGCGTAGTTTTCGGGCGTTCTTTTAAGTGGCCATAGTTTCAATACAGCCTGTACACCAGAAACTCTGCAGAATGATGTTATCCAAGTCAGAATGTGTCTTCTTGGTCCGATGCTCTAGTGCTGATGCATCCTGCGTGAGGTGGTGGTAACATCATATTCAGGTAGCTGTTGATGTGTTCGCCGAACTTTGAAATGTTTCTGAAAACGTTTCGTCACCATTCATGGGGACGTCGTCAATGCTATCCTAGGTGTGCCTTCCCTCCTTTGTCTGCTTGCGTCGGTAGGACATTTAAAAGAGTACTCGAAGTTTCTTGTCATAATTATTGGCTGATTGAGACAATTTTTCGTAATGTGATTGGTCTGTTTGTCATTGGCCCACTGTTGTGATACGGAATGGTAGAAAAATGATGGAATATTGGCGTTATCGTACTTCTCATCACTAAGCTGTCAAATAAACCCTGCTTTAAACTACCAACAGCTGCAATCTTAGGTATACAAACGTTGATGTTCACAGATCAAATTTGGATTTACCACGGCAACCAATCAGAATGTCACAAACAAGACACCTCAAGCGGATCGAGACACTGCAAAAATGCGAAGTTCAGCATTAGGGAGAAGAATAAGCTTATGCATGGTAGTTCAAATAACCAAAAAAGCTAGAAGAACCAATATGACTACCCCACAAACAGGTAGGGCGAATGAGGCACACCAGCGTACACCAAGAACGTTGCTAAACTAACTAGGAGGCCCTTACGACAGCATAAACCAGTGGTGGCTTACAAAACTGAGATTATCCTACAGAAGACACTTTCGAACTTCGAAGAGAATTAACTTTTCGGTGAAGAACAGTATCATACATAGGATTCAACGCAAGGATAGTGAAAGAACACTGCACGGGACAAACGAGAAAGATGTTTTTCATGAATACAAAATTTGCGACCACTTTTTACCCTTCTTCGTGTTCAAATGTCAGGATAGATGCGAGCTTGAGTGGAATAGCACGGGTGAGAAAAAGGCATAAAAGGTGAAGTTACCAAATCAAGATACTTCACTAAGAAGCTGTCAGCAAACATACTGGAGGTGATCTAGCCTACCATCCACTGAGGATAAGAGAACTCTCTGGAGAACCCCATACAAGGAGCAGTGTAGATCGAATCTAGCGGATAACTCGATTTCATGTGATTAAGTCTCCAACCAATTGGCCACCGGATCAAACTAAAGAAAGAAAGGCTACTGAATAACCGACAGGGCAGGTATTTATTGCCACCAAGAACAAGAAAGGAAAGCGAAATTAGGTCAGTCAAACTGAAGAAAATCAAACCATAGTGAAACACAAATCGCGAACCAACGAATCAGAACAGAGATCAAATCAACCGGAAATAAACTTTTCAAAAAACCATTCCAGTCCAAGGAATGTGGACCACAGCGCGGCAAAGACCGTGGACGGGCAATTCAAACTACAATGAAGCTGTCCCTCTGCCAACTATTCAACGTCAAGAGATATCTCATATAGTCATTCAAAAACTCTAATAACGCGAGCACAAGGGGTGAAAATATCCACCTAACCGGGAAACGACAATTTCCTCACGACCGGTAGCTAAATAACCCTAAATAGGTAACGATATTTTGATATGCTGGTAGGGTACGTGTGTCGCTTGTAACCTGTCCGGGGTTGGATCCCTGATCATGTCAAAGACAGGCCTTAGTGCAAACTAACTAGAGTAGTTGATCCGGGACAGTAAACGTGCTATTCAAACAAGAATGAGGAGAGTACGGATTCTTTCAAATGATTTAGTATTTGCGGTTCATCAAACAGAAATTGTCCAACATGATCAGACCTGACCACTACATCATCATCATTATCGGCAGAATGACATCGTTGTTCCACGTCGATGTTTCACTTCATCACAACCTCACCCGTTCAATACAATCGTTTCATTAACATAATTCCTTGTGTCTGGCCAAGAATCTGAAAAGCAAGCAAGCTGAGGATTTTGGCGGTGTGGGTGGGGGTGCTCTTTCTTGCTGCATCAGAATTATAAAGTTCATACAATAGCTGCAGTATTACTGGTTCCTCCTCATTCTTGTTAGGCAATTCGTGAACGGGACTGGGGTATTGGCAATGTTTCTTGGGTCAGACCTGATACAATTTATGGGTCTGTCGCCATCGCTTGAGAACCCTACTGAAGTCGATGTGGATGAGTAGATCACATCGGATTGATCTCATGACGGTTAGCTGAGATGCCTGTACCTCAAAATGCTCTATAAACCTTCACCAACATAACTGAGCGCAAAATGAAAGAAGTGAGATAAAAAAGGCGATGTCCAGAATCTTTCCCAATTAACCTTAGATTGTATTAGGAGCAGATTATACGTTTGAAAAACCCATCCAAATTGCCAAAAATGCTTCCTTGGATTAGCCTTGGACGTTAGCCGCTCAGTCGCTTAAACAATTTTCTACCCTGCCATTTTCTACGCCTAATAAGCATTTTTATTTCCGTCTCGTTCAATTTGGCGCGCTCCAGGAAAATTGTCTGGTCGGATGTCCATCAACCAATCATTTGTCGAAGATTACACTATTGGAACAGTTTAGGTATAGTTGCGTCAGCCCAGCACTCAGATCATGACTTTGCTCCTCATCCCTAGTTAGAAAAACTAAATATAGTGTCATACAACGAATATGGGCTCCTGGTTGTTTGCAAGGATTTTTCGAGAGGATGATACTTTTTTCCTGAGTACGATCTACATTATATGCTTAATCATCCTGCCCATGTACATCTGGTTATTATGGCCCGTTAAATAAAACAGAGTTTAAAGTGTGGGATTTCGTTCTCTAACTGAAGCCAATCTATGCTGAAAAGCCGAGAAGCATTGTACAGCTGTTTCATCCATACTGGGAATCATAAGCAGTGCGCATCTCACGAAACTCCGAAGAGTCTCGAACCCGCGACCTCCCGGCTAGTAGCTTGAACACTTAACCGTTTGGTCACGAGTTTAAAGTAAATTCCCGGCAAAGAACTTTGTTCTGTGTTATTTAAATGCGTAAATTTATCAAAATACAACATGTATCGTACAGATGTAATACACTACTCATAATGTTGGTGAAAGCCGTCGGCGAGCTGTTTCACCCTTTCTGGGGCCCATCAGGTTGGTGCCGTTCCCGAGTTCCTATCAGCCTTGTGCTCTGCCTGGACATTAATGGAACTAACTTCGACTTGTACACTCAGCGTAATGCAAAAGTTGATTTAAACGCACAGTGTGTCCGGATTTTTAGTCAAGAGGTGATAACTTAGATCATGATGACAAAAGCCTTAAATAATGAATTTCCAGCCCAAAATAACCCTAAACGATGTTTAAAGACAGTCATGACCAACTCAACCTACGGCATGTTTTGTATCCTTTTACTCAGTCACGCACTTTCGATGTAGTTGACTAGATTATGAGGAAAACGTCCCGAACTCTCAGCTGCTATTTTCAGGCGTTTGTTCTGTTGTGCAGCATGCTTTGACCAGGGACTAATAAGGCTGAAGATGCAGTTCACATCCACACGGCAAAA